TAAGGACATTAGTATATACATATATAGGACACGTATTACACACTAGATTTAACAGGCTTTCCAACTTATGAGGTAACAATTAATTAAAGCGCTCGAAAGTGCTCTCCCAGCTAGTCCTTTGTGGGACACACTAGGCTCACAGTCCAGCATTAATACCAGATATTTATATATACAGAAGACACATACAATATGCTCAAATCAGGCCCATATCTAATCTGTTTGCTTCGGTTTTCGTTATCGCTTATCGTTCCGTTTCTGTTTCTGGTTCAATCGTGTGGAATATGTAGTATATAGAAAACCCCACAATTGGGGCCTAACGCTGAGATTACATTTAACGACAGGAAACCTTGAGTAAACCCAAAACAGACAGTTTAGGAGGCCAGTCCACGCTGACGGCGCTTCACCCGGGCATAGGGACCCACAGCGGGATCCATGATGAAGTCGTACAGCACACGGCTCCAGCTGGTGTGCTGCGGCATTGTGTCGTAGAATTCCGGGGCAATGCGCTTCACCTCTGGCAGACGAGAGCCGGGTACAGCGGGAAAATCATGATGCTCGTTGTGATAGCCCACATTGAAAGTAATCCAATTCAGAGGGCCATAGTACGAGTACGTCTCGAAGCCCTTGGCGAACATGTAGTGCTCTGATATAAAGTGACCCGCCACCGGATGCAGACCCATCGCCAGAATGGAACCAATCAGCAGATAGGCCAAGGGCTTCCAACCCAAAAAGTAAACAATCAAAGCGTTGAACGTCAGCTGGACAATGGTATTGATGATCTCCAGGCGTGTTGGTGGCTTCGGGTTAATAATCAACGGACGGAATATATAGAAGAACGGCTGCAGGCAGACCCAAAGGAATTTTCCAAAAGTGGTGTCAAAGAGTCGTGCCTCCAGTAGTGTGGGTATATCCGTATCGATTGCCTCGTCGCCTTGGTAACTGTGGAAAGGGTAAAAAAAAACTATAATTAATCTCAGGATTCAACAAGGTATTTTCCAGCTGTTTGTACGACTATCAACAAGGCACTTGAGACGAGATTAGATAAAATGTTGATGCCCCTTTATCAGGTGAGTCCACTTTTAGTGAATGAGAGACTGTAAACATAAATACTTGGTACAAGAAGTTTAGTAACTCAATTGGGGAACATTTGCAGCAGATAATCGCTTGAGAATGACTCAAATTGTGTGGGAAATATTAGAGCTACATAAATACGTGAGCAATTTGAGGAAATGCAGATTTAGATATGCATAGATATACAGTATTGAGAGCTTTCTGGCTATATGCCTGAAGCTATAAATGAGTTCTACCTTTTGTCAGACACTCGAAATTGTCCTAGAAATTTAATTGGAGCTAAGAAATTGACTCACGGGCGGGTAGCTTATCATGGGGCGTATATTTCAAATGGCGGCCACCAGTGTTGTACAACGTTCACCGCACCGGCTTTATAGGAAAATGCAAACAAATGTACAAAAGGGCCGGGAGGATGGAATGGGGAATGGCGCTGCGGTTGATGAGGAGTAGGGGCCCCCACATTTACTGTTCATTTTTTATGACTACGCCCCAGCAACAACAAATTAAAGCTCAACTGTCGCAGGCCGCACCTCTGCCACCGCAGACCCGGCACGTAACTGTAAACGATTGAATGTCACTGTATGGGTGTGAAGAAGACCTACTCATAGACGAGTATACTTATATGATATATAGAATAACGTCATAGCATCCAATACATACCGATGATGTTCGAGGTGGTATTTCTTGAACGATATGCTCATGGGTAGGCCAATGGGCAGATTGCAGACGAATCCCAGCATGCGATTGTGAAAGGGACGGCTGTGTCCAAAGGCCAGATTGTGCGATATCTCGTGGACGGCCAACATCAGCGAGTGGTTAATGATGCCGCCAAAGCAGTAGGCCGCCACAATTAGCCATGACCACGACAGATCCTTGACAACGAACAGGGCCAGTATCTGTGTCAAGACCATAGCGCCGGCAATCCATTTGAAGTTCGGGTCGTGTCCGAATAGCTTCTTGATTTGCGGATACTTTTCGAGTATGATTTTACGGCGCGAGGCATGCGGCTCCTCCGTGTACACCCATTCGAAGTCGGTGCGCGACACTTTTTGGCCCATTTTCGAAGGGTTTTTACTGATTCCAATTTGCGATCCGGAATCGAAGTTACTGCATTGACATTATCGATCGAATTGAAACGAAAAACAAATGATTAATAATTTTTATACAGTGGCTGGTTGATCGATAGGGGCGGGTGGGGTGCTTAGCGGCCTCGGCATTATCGATAAGATATACCGTCGGGACATCGCAAATATACCGGATATACTTTATCATTTTCAAAATATACCGTAAAATATACCGTAGTCTTAAATCAGATTCCTCGACTTTGATGTTCTATTTGATTTTACTAGCTTGTAAAGACATTCACAACTGAGACAATAATTTAATCCCATTGAAGAATCAATTCTGCTTAGTATAAATACTCACTTTTATTGGATTGTATACTTTATGACCTTATATTTTACAAAGTTTTATTCGAATTTTTCATTCAAATCACTCCCTATGGAAGCACGGGACGGGAGCTTTGTCTTCAGTATGTAAGTGTATGAAATTATTAAATGAGACATGTATATTAACTGACAATATTGAAATATTTGAAAATTGGCGCGTACAAAAAAAGCGATAAAGAAATTCTATGGTTTTTTTGAAAGGGGAGAGGGAACTTTGGGGAACTGCTTTGGGTGGCAGTTCTTCTATCTTCACAACATAATTGGGGCTAAAATCCGCCCGATATATATTTCAACTTCAGCGGCCTTCATTTTATTGAGACTTTACTCTCTGTTTGCTAGGTACCCTTTTGGAATAGAAATCAGATCTATATTTGTCGAGCTGGGCCAGTTTTTTTTCCGATCTGAGTATTGCCTTGCGTACTGCCGCTAGAAAGTTACTTGTGCGCGACAACATTTCAAATCAGATCTATATTTGTCGAGCTGGGCCAGTTTTTTTTTCCGATCTGAGTATTGCCTTGCGTACTGCCGCTAGAAAGTTACTTGTGCGCGACAACATTTCTTATCGGTTCCATACGAATATCATCCCTGATTTTTTTAGCGGCCCTTTTTTCTATCAGAGTATTAGGCTTATACCTTAAATATAACATAAATCTTAAATCATTTTCGTCGACTTTGATGTTCTACTTAACATTACCAACTAGTTAGGATTATCAGAGCTAAAACTATCATTTTATCCGTCCATCAAGATTGGCTAGATTTCATTTCTGGATTTTGTTCTATTGTTTTCAAAATATGGTTAAAACTACAAAGGTCAACCAAACGTTACCTGAGTGGGAATGGAACTTTTCGTCATTTGACAATTTGTTGCTGGCGAATCGGTGGTATATTACAGTATTATGGGTATTTGTGTACCCTATTTCCATTAGGTACCATTAGGTATTTCCGAATTCCGTTTTACAAATGTTTATATTGTTGGTATATCTATCAAGATACATTCACTTTATCTATAATCTGCAAAATTTCGTTGAAATGGACCTTCAATACAGATTGACTTGATTTGAACCTTAGATTTAAAACATATCCTGAATTCGAAAATATCCTTTGTCCCAAGGAAAGCATACATGCGTATGGGACTTTGGATACCCTATACGCTTGAAAATACTTTAAAAATGGAATACAGATATTCAGTAAATTTACATCAAACTCATTTTCGTAGTGAAAAAATCCCGAAAATTATGTAACATACCTTAAATGGTCGTGTGGTGGAAAGAAAAATGATTTGGATTCAGTAAAATAAGTGTCCATGATTCTGTTTAATATTATTAGGAAGCTAAGACGCTCAACCCTGAAACTATACATTTATCCGATTGATGAAAAAGTGGTGGCGGCCCAGCAGGTCCATCGATATGTTAAGATACCTATCGCCAAGTCCCTCCACTAGACTTCAATCATAGACTGAGAGAATTTAGTGCTTAGTGCATTAATGCTCTGAAATAATATTTTGTACCGTATATGAATGAGTCCTCTGTTCTGCGTGTTGGTGGAAATCAATTGTAGTTCATTCTAAACTATCGCTTTCATGGCTATCGATAGCTAGAACCAAATGCAAGCCTGCTCAACCTTGGCCAAAAATTTAAATTGAATATTTTGAATTCTTTTGCAAATTTCAGACCAATGAAATGCAACAACACCAAATGTTCTGCTTTTGTTTGCCGTTTTTATACAATTTCTTATAATTGGTATAATTTAGTAGTAGTAGTACATTAGGAAAACGTAGTAATTGAAATAATTGAGTAAAGATTACAGTAAAAAGGGAAAGCGACACCACCAGCAGGCGGCTTATGTAGATGTTCCGATCGGCATGACTGGCTGATATGCCACTCCTTGGTATTTCTGGCATAGCTCTGTGGCTGGGTGGTGTGCTGTGTGGGTGGCTTCTGGTTGTTCTATGGATGGCTCCTCAGCTGCTGCTACTCTGTTGCTGTTGCTCGTGGGCGTGCTGTTGTTGCTATTATGTTTAAATATAAATTTTATGTGTAGTTTTTTGTATTGTTTTTAATATATTTATATCAATAGTTCTAGAAAAAGCTAAAACAAAGGTGTGTGTTTTTGCAAGAAGATGTTGGGCTCGCCAATTGTTCGCTTTCGATTTGTTTTTTGTTTTTGTTTTTTAATATTACTCTTTCTTCAGATAGATGCAAATGGGGATTTGTTTCATATATATGTATTTGTATATATTTGTTGCTGCTGGTTGACGACGCAGTTTTAAAATTGATGTTATACAGGTTGAGAGAACTAATTGGATATGGGTCGAGTAGGAGTAGGAGTAGACGGCGGCTGCGTTGGGTCCAGGTCCAATCCACGGCTGGTTGGTGTTGATGTTTTTGCCCTGGTAGACCCCTGGTTGGTGTTTGCTGCTGCTGCTGTTTTTGTTGCTTGTCTGGAACTCCTGCCCCTTGTCGGTGTCGTCCCTTTCTGGTGTTTTTTTTGCTGCCCTTTTTTTTGGATTGATGTTTTGGATAAATATTTAGCTTGAAGTTCTCTTTGAATATTGAGTTGAATAGATTTATGCGCTTGGATCTTCGATTTTATTCTCGCTGTTTTTGCTCACTCACTTTTTGTTTTTATTTTATTTAGGATTCTCTCGATTTATCTCTCGCGTTTTGTTGTTTCGTCGTGGCTCAACAGAAACTATTTTAAATCAAATCGGCAATATTAGCAGGCATTTCCTCAATTGTTGTGTGATAGAACTGTTCAATATCCTTAAGGATTCGTCGATCATCATCCGTAATGAAGTTGATCGCAACACCCTTGCGACCGAAACGACCACCGCGGCCGATTCTGCAAATGAACAAAACAAAATATGATTTAAAGGCGTTTCCCTAGAGGAAATGGATGGGCTGGCTCTAGTAGAACTCACCTATGAATATAGTTCTCGCGGTTCGAGGGCAGGTCATAGTTGATGACCAGCGACACCTGCTGCACATCAATACCACGCGCCAACAAATCAGTGGTGATCAGGACACGGGACGAGCCCGAACGGAATTGTTTCATGATGACCTCACGGTCACGCTGCTCCATGTCACCGTGCATGGCCGACACGGTGAAGTTGTGGTTGGACATATCCTGGGTAAGCTGATCGACCTTGCGACGCGTATTGCAGAAGATTACCGACTGGGTGATGGACAGCGTATCGTACAGATCGCACAGTGTGCCCAGTTTCCAGTTCTCCTGTTTGACATTCACGTAGAACTGCTTGATACCCTCGAGGGTCAGCTCCTCCTTCTTGACCAGAATGCTGACGGGCTCGCGCATAAAGCAACGGCTCACCTCGAGCACATCTGTCGGCATGGTGGCAGACAGCAAGATCACCTGCACATCTGGAGGCAGCATCTTGAACACGTCCTGGATCTGGTCCTTGAAACCGCGAGACAACATCTCATCGGCCTCATCGAGCACGAACAGCTTGATGTTCTGAGTGCGCAGCACCTTGCGGTTGATCATGTCGTACACACGACCGGGTGTTCCCACCACCACATGGCAGCCGGACTCCAGAATGCGGGCATCCTCGCGCACATTGGTTCCACCGATGCAAGCATGCGAATGCACCTTCATGTACTCGCCCAGAGCCATCACTACGCGCTGGATCTGCGTGGCCAACTCACGAGTGGGGGCCAAGATCAAAGCCTGGCACTCACGCACTGCCGTGTCGATTTGCTGAAGAATGGCAATCGAAAAGGTGGCAGTCTTGCCGGTACCTGCAGATGGAAATAGTGGTGGTGGTTAGAATTGCTAAAAGGTTTAAAATTGCTTCACAGATTTGTTTTCTTTGGGAAATCAATCTTTGGGAATCAAGGAAAGTATTTGCCATCTATGATGGAAAATATGTTGGAAACATGGATATCGAAAGGCAGGGAGCAAGAAGAATGGATTCGATTTGCTTTAAGGTAACTAAGCCTCAAGCCCGCTGAAATTTGCATAGATGGGTGGAAAACAAGGGTGGGAATGGCCATTTTCCTTTAGACTAGACCTGCAGGTAGGGAAAAATCCAACCCGTGAACTTAGATCGCGTTCTTATACAAGACAGCTGACGATCTTTGGCCGTTTTCTGGCAGGTAGAAAGTCTTACTCCCATTTCGTGGACACGACCTTCTTTCCAGGAACTTTCTTCCGCAGCACGAAAACAGAAAAACGCGCGCCAGTCAACAGAAAAGTGGCGCGCAAGCGCAAAGACGCTCAGAGAGAGAGGGAGAGAGAGGCAACTGAGCGGAGTGAGCAGAACTCGCTTGAGAGAGCACTACAGACGCAGTGCAGCTGAGTCATCGACGCCGCTGCTCCAAACTTTACTTTTGTCTTTGCTTTTGCCTTACTTTTTTGTTGTTGCAAATTTTGCACTTTCTCGAACAAAAATTTGTCTTTGTTGTTGGATGAATGTGGATATGTTATGCATATAGAGACAATTACTCACCGGACTGAGCCTGGGCAATGACATCGCGACCCTTGACGCACGGAATGATGGCGCGCTGTTGGATGGCCGACGGCTTCTCGAAACCATAGCCATAGATGCCGCGCAGCAGCTCCTCGCGCAAATTCATGTCATCGAAATTGTCGTAGACCTCGTGCCAGGTCGACTCGATGACACCCTCGGGGTCCATGCCAGCGGGACCATCCAGAGCTACTTCACTATTCCGATCATCCCTGTAAAAGGAAATTAAAGGAAAACCAAGAATTAAACATGCCATTTTCTTTCTGTAAGCATATGGTGTACAGCAGATATATAATAAAATTTTTTTAACGAAAATGCAAACACAAATGCAAGGCAAACGATTCCCCATTTTTCCATACACAAACACCCACACACAGACCCACTCTCGCTCATTGCCTGGCACACATTTGTTGGTTAGGTCGAATCGCGCTTGGCAACGGGGCGCCGCCAATCACTTACATTATCAACAATAAAGAATTGACTAGAGAAGTTTTTATCCTGAATTTCGACGGCAGCCAAACCGTTCACTTAAACAATTTGTCGTCTGTTTTTCTTTCACTTTGGAAAAGTGAGTAACAAAGAAATGTATTTTTTTTTTTTGTGTGACTTTTCTTCAACCGAACGCGTATCCCCTTTTTTTCTTGTTTTTGTTGTGTGTGTGAGTGGTGTTCTCTGCTCTGCGGTATTTTCACGTATAAAATGCTACTGCTAGGTTTCGACGACAGATAGACGGCCTTTTGCGAGCGTAGCGTCCGCCCATTAATGTGTGCGAGCGGGACGACCATAGGGGGTGAGTGTGTCAATGTCAGTGGTTGCTGACATTGGTGAGAGCAGTCGAGCAGCAGCTTTGAGCGAACATAACTGTGGGTGCAGTGTTGCCTAACGATTTTTTTGGTTTGCCAAATAGTGGTAGTGGGAAAATATTAGTAGGGAGGGAAAATGAAGCCGACAAGCTAAATTTTCCATCTCACATTATGCGTAGAGAGAGGTGGCAGTGCCATCACCAAATTGTTGATTTCGGGTCTTTCGCTCATAGAATTGTTACCAAACCGCTTTGGCATTGAAGTGTCCGAGAATAAACGTTTGCCGTCATTGTCCAGCCATGAGTCAAATGCCTGCAACCTCTTCCAATGTGTGTGTGTGTGTGTATGTGTGTGCGAGCGGATATTCAATCACTCTCCAGAATGACTCAAATATTTAAACAACGTCATCGGCCTCTCCTTGATCGTTTGCCTTGCATTTTTATTTGCATTTGCTTTGCTTTAAAAAAAGTATTAAATATCTGCCGAACAACACACTCATGGAACAACCACTATGCTCTCTCCGGCTCTCTCGCTCTTCGTTCCTCTCTTTGGGAGCGCTGACATTCGGACGACAGCCGTCGTGTACAATTTTTTCACACACTTTTAGCCGTCACATATTTTAAAATCAATTTTTCCATATATCTTTATATTTTAATTGTCTTTTACACGTTGCTAAACGATGCGAAACGGGATCGGCTGATCTCTTTTCACAATTTTTGCGCTTAATTTACGGTTTATACTAACATTTTCAGAAAAATTTTTGGCACTTTTTTTACACGTGCTACTGATTTTTTGTAAAAGAGGGCTCCTCCAGTGTGACCGCGGAGTTATCGAGAAAATATACGGCCTGACCTTTAAAATATACCAAAAAATACCTTCTCAAAAGAGGCTCCATCTTGCAAAGTTTTCAGTGATGTCCAAAATGTCGATAGTTGGGGGCGATATGTCGAGTAGTGTCAGAGGAAATGCGTCGTTTCCGGCATGATTTCATAATTCTCGTAAGTTGTCAAATCGTTTTCAAATTAATTAATATCAGTATTTGGCTAATTTTTTATAATATAAAGTTTTTGATTATATGTCATAATGTGGGCGCTGCCACTCTTATGGAATTGGTTTCACAGGGATTCATTTGGTTTAGGTTAGTTATAGTATATATATAGTTATATATATAATTTTTTCTCATAATTGTGGTGGATATCGCTCTGAACACTCTTTCTGCCGTGGGATAACTCTATTTGGCGATCAAAAATCACTTTTTAATGTATGCCACTAGAATCAAATTTTTATTCACAAAGAACCACACAAAAAGTACGTTACGGCCGAATTTGTCCCGCCTATCGCATAAAAATACCGATAAAGAGAATCAATAGTCACGGGTATGTGAAACAAAAGCAAAATGGGGCCGACTGCGCTTGGAATTCATTAAATCAGTTCCGTCGATAACCGTTGATATTCCACTAAAACATACATATTAATATTTCAGCTAGTCTGATATATCATCCACCAACAAACTCGCTGAAAATATTTATCGATATTTTTATGTATCAATATATATTTATCATCCCTACATTTTGTCGGCGCAGCGTGAACAGTGTGAGTGGCTACGAAGAATTTTTCCAAATCCAAAATTAACAGCAATTTATTTGATACTTAACGCAACTTGGCTGCCCAGGGAGTTGATTAGGTAGTTTAATGAGTAAAGTGTGGGTGAATGTGTAATTTTATTGAATATAATTCGCTTGAAATGGAGTGACAAAAGAACCACACACATGTACGCGCTTTTTGGCCGACGGCGTTGGCTGTGCGTCGTCGTATTACATGTGTGTGAGTGTGTGTGTGTATAGTGTGCAAAAAATTAAGTGGGAAAAGTTCAGCGGCGGCCGGTCCGTTTGCTTAGAAAAAAAACACTGAAGTTTGTCAGCCACTGGGAATTGATTGCCCATGTAAATATAATTCTTGTGGACAATACGTATAGCTTTTTATATACTCCTGTCGTACATATATGCATTAAAATTAAAGTCTATTTTTAATTTATGACAGTTACTCAGTACCGGCCAAGAAAGCAGCGGCTCCTCCAAACGATTCATAACACTCATACTCGCATACGGGCAACACACTCAGCTCTGCGAGAGAGCGAACTGTGTTGAGTCATCGTCTGCTCTCACTCACTCATTTGCATTATATGTTGCCGGCTGATTAATAACGGCTCGCAATCTATGCCTTTCTCCCTCTGTCGCACGGTCCAGCTGCACTGTAGCTGTGTGAGTGAGAGTCGCGAACAGAAGCGGGGGTGAGTGAGTGTGAGTCACGTTTCGAGTTATTTTCACTCGTGGAGCCGTTTGGAGCCTTTCTGCATTTCGAATTCCCAAGTCGTTCAAGGCGGACGTGTTACGTGGAAATTGCTATTTCGCTGTCTGTGCGTGTGTGTTGTGTGGCTTGTGGCTGCTCGCTCTAGTGTGTGTATAAGTGAGTTTTTTCAAACGAAAAAATTGTTGAAATTAAAGCAGTCGGTGGGCTTACAGTTACATCCCCACACCACCCTCTTAGCATAACTTATTCGATTCCAGTCATTTATAGTTGTTGCTCGCAAAGCGTCCGGCTAGTCCCGAAAGAAAAAAAAGAACCGTCGACAAAAGTATAGTTAACTGGAAATAATTGTTAATAACCGTCTCTATCTCTTTTTTCAACCATCTCTCGTTGCAGTTTGCACAAGTTCGAAACAAAAAAAATTGTAAGCAAATAATCGTCAACGTTGCGGTTTTTTGCTTTGTCTTCTTCCCCCAACTTCTACACTGCGCAAATAAATTCGGTGGCGTGTGACCCCCTACTCCCCCTCCGGAAAGCCGACAAAAAGTGTCAAGTGCAACTCGATAAATTAATTAATTGCCAACGCAATAAGTTAACAACAAATCCGAAGCATCAACATGAGCTGGCAAGATTATGTGGACAACCAACTGCTCGCCTCGCAGTGTGTGACCAAGGCGTGCATTGCCGGACACGATGGCAACATCTGGGCGCAGTCTGCAGGCTTTGAGGTGAGTACAACTAACGGTACAATTGCGTTTGACAATGAATTTTTCGCGCAAGTTCAAGGGTGTGACCAGGCCCACACACACACACTCACACACACATAGCAGTCGGGGCAGACAGAGAGACAGACACAAAGGAGGCACAGCATGTCCGCCATGATTACTTTCATTCTGTGTGATAAAAGAGCCAGGGAGAGGCTTCAGCAGCAGCAGCAGCAGTAGCAGCACTGCCACCCCCTCTGTTCTGTTTGAGTGTGTTTGTCGTCGTCCACCCCCTGCAGCTGTTGTTCTCTCTGCGCAGGCCCTCTCCCACAAGGCAGCAGGGTCCGTGTGTATTTTTGTGAGTGATCGTGAGTAATCTCACCACCACATGGATGGATTATACTTTTCCTGCTCTCTCTAGGTTTTAAGCCTATGACATTTAGGAGACCTTCGGATTAGTGACATCGAAAATGAAAGCTAGTTGAGTACTCAAATTTCAACTGCTTTTAACAAGAATACGGATAGGATCTTGCTCAAATAGCGCTTTAGTTACTAATCCACTGCTTTGTCGAACAAAATAGTTTCAGGCAGATGAAACCAGTTGTAATGTGAACTGTTAATGGAAGATGAAACTAGTTTTTGCATGCAATTGCTGCTAATAATAACAGATGAAGCCAATGGTCTTTTTATTTTTAAAATGAACTGCTGCTTGGAAAGTCTTCGTCTTGGAAAGGTACCTGTCTCGCCACAGCACTTAGATAGTGTCAGACAGGATTGAGTCAGATGTTAGTTTTTACGATTGCTGCTTGTCAGAATTGCGATAAGCGCTGCCAGTCAGTAATATGTTTAATCGCCTATAGCCCAATTAGTCCCATCTAATCAAACAAATTTGTTTGCTCCTCTCAGTCGCCTTACTATCAAATTTGATGTGTTTGCTCCGATGATTCATTCAGCTGGATGATTCGTCATTGCTACTAGGGTGGTGCTGCTGCAGTTGCTTATTCGTTCGATTCATCATCCAATAATACAAAATGCATTTCATTGAAAGGTGTTTTGAGTAATCTGATATCAGCTGCAGCAGCAGCCGGTACGAATATGGTACGGTATGGATAGCATTTACCAACACTACTGTGATTTGTGATAATGCAAGCGGAGACACACACTCCCTTTTTTTGTCAGAAGCGTGAGAGGAGAGAGCGTCAACTGTGAGAGAGCACCCTTTTATCAACTTCACTCAATAGTTTGATATGCCCGTGCGTGTGTATTTGAGTGTGGGTTTTATTATCTCTGTTTTTTTTGTTCGTTTCCTCTGTGCCGGCAAAAAAAAAAAAAAGCAATTCTTTATCAAAAAGAAGGAAACATTTCTTGAGGGTAAAAAGCGCAGCCCCAGAGCGTACCCACAAATGCCGCGTCATCAACAGCCAAATGTTTTAAAAATTCATTTTTTTGTATGCGCGCCACGTTTTTTGCGTTTTTGGAGTGGATATGCTGTGTATGTGTGTGTGTGCAACTTCCTGCTGACTCCACTCCAACTCCATTCCCATTGCCATGCCATGTGCTTTTATCCTGCTCTGCTCTGGCTGTTGCGCGCCCCGTTCTGTGGGTTTGGTTTCTTGGGAAGGAAGAAGGGGTATACGGGGTGGAGCTAGGGACACTCCCTTTTTGCTTTGTTTCGAGTATGAAAACTCGATTATTATATTGCATTAGATGTGAATCGATGTCGGAATGACACAAATTTCACAATGAGTTGGCATCCGATTATTTGCCATAGCAAATGATATTTTGGCAATGAGTT